CACTATTAGGGTAGCACGAGGCGCCACACCAAAGACTGATGGCAGATCATACGTAGCTAACAATGTACATATCTCGACAACCACACCGAAGCAGGAACTGGATATGTAGACTACCAGTGACCTCCAGTGTTTTTTCCAACAAAAGCTTGGCTTTTTCCCAACAGCTGAAGCTCTGTCTGCCCAAATAGTCTAGAAAACGGTTTGGACGCGCTTCTTGTGGATTTCACCTGTTCTTTTTTAGTACTCTTTTCGTTGTCTTTCAATATCCTGCAGAGGTGGATCCGCCAAGACGCCACATACAAACCATTTTCTTTGGTTTGGAGCCTGGCTGGGGTTCCTTGGGTTGCGGTCATGCCACCCTCGCAAGCACCAGAGGTTTAGGATGCAACGTATGGCCAGGCACGAGATGTCCCATCGACCTTCTATAGGAAGAATCTGCCCACAAGCCCACTGGAATTCTCAGGAATTCCACTAAATTTGGCCGTTGAAAGAGCAGACAAACTAATAGGAAGCACCTCAGGGTTTGGATGGAGAATCTCCTGATAAGCACATCGAACATCGAGGCAGAGTATGCCACCTGCCGCGTTGGGTGTGAATTTTCGGGGGGGGGGGGGGGGAAACATTGTTTTGATTATTTGTTTTCGGGTCAGTTTGCTTGAAGGTGGATTGCACTGATCAGTTTGGTTCTGATCATCTAGCAAACTCGACATCCGCCAGTTGATAGGCGGTGTGTCTCATGTTTCATGGGGTTTCATCTATGCCACTGGCCAAGCTGGGCTGTTCAGTGGGGCAATCCGCAAGATCTTTTTGGGTTACAACAAAGGTTTCTTTTCAGTGGTTGTCCATTATGGAATAAGATTGGCCAACACTGCATTTTGAACACAGCCTGCACTTTAGGAGCACCCGCCTGGCACGCTGAGCATGGTGCACCCCATCCTGGCCGCAGACTACGGGGAGCTGGTTTCTCGGCAATTTCATCGGACAACCAGCGTCACAGGACCAGTTTTGAGGCAACCCTTAGCGGTTTGGATTTGGATTTGAACGCCCTCTGAAGCTTTGGAAGGTAGCCGCTATCCTCACCGGGCTCCAAGCCACCACAGGGGAAGCTGATTTTGGTGGTTCGGAAAATTGGATTTGAACCCCACTTCGTTGAGGCCCAATGAGAAGGCAGCCCCCTGACCTCATCACCGGGCTCCAACCCACCAAATAAGGTGAGGAAAAAGTCTCCCTTCGGTGAATTTCATGCGGCAAGGTATGAGCAAGGGAAAGCGTTTCCCCGCTAGCGAAAGCACTCCCAACAAAATCAGAGCCCCTGTTGAAGAGTCTTGATCAAAGGGGTATGAAATTGGGTGGGCCCTTGAAGTGTTGGGCATTGGGATGTTCACTGCGGGTACGGCATTTTGACCCAGGTTGTTCCCAGTCGTTCAAACGGAAAAACGCTTGGCTCAGGATTGGTACTCCGAGTTGGCTGTGGTGGTCGATGGGCTCCTCGCTTCGAGTGAGGGGTCAGGATGGGAAGGGGCGAGGACGGGTGCGGTTCGAGAGTGTGTGTGTGTGTGGCTGTGTGTGTGCTTATGCTTGTGTTTATGCAGTGTTTGCCGCAGGTGAATTTAAATGGCACGCCCAAAAGGAAACCAGCCATTTGTGGTGAGTCCCTGTTTTGCCGGGTTTGCACCACAAACCATCCTCCAGAAATGGGACAGTCCCAATAGGCGCGGCCATCCGCCCTTCTGACTCATTGCATGTTCCATTGATCAACGCGTCCGGTTGAAATTGTTTTGTTTTTTTGGGTGGGTGGGTCTTGGATTGCAGTCATCAGGGTTCTACAAGGCTCCAAACAATGACCGGGCAAGTAAGTTGCAAGCCACTACACCCCCAACCTCCAAGAGACCCGGCTCCAAACCAATTAGAGGGAAGCTGACTTCCCCAACAAGTAGCGGATGTTTGTTAATAGGGAGTGACTTCCACAGTCTGCAGGGATGTCTTCATCCGGGTTTTGTCACCTACTGTACAGCCACATGTAGTAAGCAAGGACTGGTGGTCAGTGCTGTGTTTGTTCTATTCGGTTCTTCACTCTTCTTGGCATGGGTTGTAGTTCTTGGGTTGTGTTCATTTTAATGACTACAAAGAACCTTCAGTTGTTTACGTGCCACGGACTGGATTCTTGTTGTTTGTTGGGGCTTCCTTGGGGGGTTCGGATCGTCGTCGTTTGAATCAATATGATGGGTAGGAATCCGGTCCATGAATCCAGTCCACTTCGATCATCGACACTTGTGGGTCTTCGCGGTGGATCCAGTCTTTGGGCCACATCTCGGGACCGAGTCCTCTTGGCATCTCTTGGCCATTTTTGGAGCTACCAGTTTGGACAACTGGGGGTATCAAGCCCTGTGGAAGCCTTTGCGGCCATTTCTCTCTTCCTGAGTTCCTGGACTTTAAGACTTTAAACTTTTTGGATTTGGACCATTGTAGTGGCAAATAAAACGTTTGGACTTCTTTGGCCAATCCACTCGATTGGAAGTGAGATCTTGATACAACCAAGAGAGGTCGTTTACGAGCGAGCGCCGAAGGCGGGAAACTACCATTTCTTGTCCTTCTGTCCTTGAACCTGCAAAAGGTCAAGAAAACAAATACCCACATTGGGTCAAACCTCCTGCAGGTTCCCTGAGGCACCTTGGGAGGGGTTGAGAGATACCCATGTTGGTTCCCTGAAGACTAGGATTCAGGGACCAAAGGGTACCGAGCGCCCCCCACATGGCTCCGGCAGCCTGCATGGCTTCGGCAAATCGCCCAAGGAAGATCCAGGCGGTGCAGGTGCTGCGACTGGAGTGCGAGAAAAATGAGGGGAGCCATAAGGTGGCGTCTTGGATGAGTGTTATGCCGAGCCCAATTGTTTTGGGGGGGGGCTAATTAATGGGCTCAGCGTACAAGAGCTTCAATAATTAGAGCGGGGGTGTTGGGGTCAAATTTTTGGCGGTGTTAAGTTCAGGTATTCCCTTGGTGGTTTTTGGGGATTTGACCCCTGGTTCCAGAAAGTAATTGGGAAACCACCCTAGAACACCTCCAAACCACGAATCCAAACCACCAAGGGGAGAGGGGAGGCTGTTCGGTTGGGTCCGTAAGATCTGTTGGTTAGAGGATTTGATCCCTGAACTTCTGGTCCCCCATAGGGATGGATTGGGATGGATTGAACAGCGCAAAAGACGGGCGATGACTTGGCACTGGCTGCCAATCTCTAGTTTCACTTTCCGGTCCGATTTGTGTCGAAAGCCGGGGTGTCCGATTCTCAAAAGGGCCGTTTTGGTAAGTCTTACTGTACCTGGTTAAAGGATGAGAGCAAGGCCTGTGGGTGCGCCTTTTTCTTTGGGCGGTTGTTCTTTCGGTCTTGCTTTTAAACTAATCCAAAAATGGGCCTCCTCAAAAAACACACCCATAGAAGTAGAAGCCTTAACCAGAAGGCAAGTGTTTTGTAGAACCAAAAAGGATTGCTTCTTGGAACCAAACCTTGGTCACTCCAGTGACTTCTGATCCGCTAGTTCCGTCTCAAGCTGCGGATAAAATGTCATGCTTTAATTGGTGGTTTGGATTGATTGTTTGTGGGGTTGATCCCTTGGTTCTTGTGGGGAACCAAACCGCCAAAATGTTCGTGGTTCAAGTGTACTGCGGGTAGTCAAAATTGGAACCCTGGGCCGAACTGTCTTGAAGTGACCTGCCATGGTCAAAAGACCCTTAAGCCAAACCAGGAAATGAGTTGGACCCTTTCAGGAAGCTGGTTTTGGTCTGTCTTGCTGGGTACTGTACCACCAAGTGGGTATGTGTCAACATGTGTCAACATAGAGGACCTCCAAAATACTACAGTGGATGCCCTAAATATTGCAAGTAAGGGACCAAGGAAACCCTGTAACTTGCGGTAATTTGTCATGCTATTATAGTTTTTTCGCCTGGTTGGTCTTGCATCTTTTAGGGCATCCACCGTACCTGAGATTTGCCGAGCCGAGGTGTGGTACTTCCTGAAGCACGAGCTCTTCCTCGACCGCACCCAAGCAACTCGTTTTTTTTCCGTGGCTACTGTGTGTTTTGTGCTTGCGAGCCTGGTTTGAGATTATCTTAAAAGGGTCTCTTGACCTTCAAGACTGTTCGTCCAGGGTTCCAATTTTGATTACCCGCGGTAGTCTTTCGTTTCATGGTTGGAGCTACCTCACAAACAATGTGGACATTGAATCCCAACCTAAATCATGGCCTAGATTTCATTATCAAGAATTGAGCAGGGAAGGGATGTTAACCCCCCCCTCCCGCCCTCCCGTAAAACAAAACAAAAGGCAGCATCTGTTGAGGTGCAGGAATCCGGTTTTGTGGGCCTGCGAAAGATTTGAGTCTGTGCTATACATTTGCATGTGTACAGAAAAATGCATGCACGCATATGTATACATATATATGTATAGAAAGTACATACATGCGTACATACACTCGTACTAACATACGTACATACGTGCCTACATGCCCGAATGCATTCATGCATGCATTCATGCATCCATTTGCATTCATGAATCAATGCATCCATGCATCCATCCTGCATGCATGCATGCATGTACGTACATACGTACGCGCATGCATGCATTCATACATACCTACATGCATACATACATTGAGACATACATGCATGAATACACGCATGCATGCACACGTGCAATGCTGTGTGTACATGCTGCGTGTACATGCCTGCATGCATACATGAGCCCATAAGTGCATGAATACATACATTCATACAACAAATGCACTGCATGCTGTAAATCAGTGACATGTGAAAGCAGTGTTTTCCTTATATCTAATTAGAATCCTTTGTTGAATTTGCATTCATAGCCCGGGCGAAACTACAGTTTGATGCCCTGCTTGGCTGGTGGGTGCTTCAAGTGTGTGTGTGGGTGTGTTTGCGGGCGTTTTAGTGGCTCAACGCTCCGAAACGTGGGTGGGGTTTTCGCGAAAGATCCGCGACAGCCCGCGCGAAAGGCGCGTGCTTCAATTGGAAGGGGAGAGATCTGAGTGCCGCGCTAGGCAGTGTACTTACTAGCTTGGTACTGAGAAGTCGGGACTGAGCAGTGCAATTGCGGCTTGCTAGCTGGAGCTGCGAAAGTGCATGTCGGGTACTGGTGCTGAAAAGTTGCGACTTTCCAGCCGGAGCTACGGAAGTGCATTTCGTGTATTGCCCCTGTGCTGAACATTTGCGACTGTGCAGCTGGAGTTGCGGAAGAGCAGGTCGCGTACTACGTTGGTACTCAAAAGCTGCAACTTCTGACTTTAGCAAAGAAAAGTGCACGGCGATGAAACCGCGAAAGATTCGCGAAAGAAACCTTTTTCTCAGAGAAAGGATAGAACAACCACCACATACATACATACATACATACATACATGCATGCATGCACGCATGCATGCACGCAGGCAGGCATACATGCATACATGTGTACATGCATACATGCATGCATGCATACGTGCATACCTGCATACATGCATACATGCACACATGCATGCATGCATACATACATACATGCTATCATACATTTTAACATACAGTTATTCATGCATGCATGCATACATACATGCATACATACATACATACATACATACATACATACATACATACATATGTACATGCGTACATACTTGCATGCTTGCATACATGCATGGATGCATACATGTATACATACATTTAAACATACATTTAGACATACATACATACATACATACATACATACGTACATGCATGCATACATACATACATGCATGCATGAGTACATGTACGTACACATACCTACATACATTAAGCAAAACCACCTACACACTAGTTGTGCAGTTTGTGCTTTGTCCTCCCATGAGCAAAAACGTACTTGGGAATTGTTGGTTCGATGACGGGTCACCTGCATTGGTATCGGGAAAGTAGGTTTGTTCGACTTCCATAGATGCCCGGTTGCAAATCAGTTTTGGGTGTCTCACGACTACTTCCCTGCACCTGTACACCCGCCAAGGAAAAATTGCATTGAGCGAGGGGCTTGCCTATGTGTTTTCTCTAGTGCTTGGTGACTCTTGTCTGAGATATCCAAGTATGTGCGGTCTCAAACTTACAATTCCGTACCCGAACAGAGTTGCGTTCGAGAGCAGGGCAATTGAAGCAATGCACTACTGTGTGCGTAAATTTATAGGCTGAAGGCCCTATATAGAGGGACTCTTGAGGTTTGTCTTCACAAGAAAAAAAAGGGTGTAATCATGTTGCCCCTCACAGAACTTGCCTTTTTGTCAGGGAATCGCCTTGCAGGTTTTGGGAGTGAACCTGGGAAAGGATGGTAGGGGGTCATCCCCTTCACTGCTGAGAACCAGCTAGATACCTCATGTTCTTGGGGACAAAGGACTACTTGCTTCGCTGCGGATTCGCCCCCCTCATGTTCTGTAGTCCATTTCTGGTTGGTGCAACATGACTTGCTAAATCAGGGCGTGTCTTGTCTTTTTCTGGGACCCCCTAAGCATGGGCTCGCTGCTCTGTGGTTTTTGGACCCCAGAATCTGTGTGGCGTGTTTGGTTTGTTGTTTTTGGTTGGGCCCTGAGGACCCGTGAGTCCAGATCGCCTAAGCTCAGGTACCCCCTAATTGGTGGTTTGGATTAGTGATTGGTAGATGTAAACCCCTGGTTCTTGTGGAGGGTAAATGTGAAAGCCTTCCTTAACCCTGCCCCCCAAATAGATATATACATATATATATATATATATGTATGTGTATAAGTATATATGGGTGGCTCCGGACCAACTCGAGGAGAGTTCCTTTTTTTGGACCGCGCAAATGTCAAAGTTCTGCGTGGCCGACTTTTGATCTTTTGTTTTCCCTTTTTGGCATCTCATTTTCTGTCATGGCTCCGAACGATTACACTGAAAGATTAACCTTTTATTTCTGGGTGCAACTGAGAATTCTTCCAGACCAACATGGAGCCCCGCTTTGCTCTGTGTTTGTGGACCCCACCGAGACATCCAAACCCGCCATATTTCCAAATCAGTGGCGGCTGGTTTCTTTTGGGTGTGTCTCAAAATGGGGAACCCCGAAAAATGAGGCTTTCCCATTGGTTTCCATTTTAGCCAGCCCCAAAAATTGGTGCCCTGCGCCTAAAAAGAGATCCGCCTTTCTTGAGGTAACCCATTTGCTTGTGGTGGTGTGAAGGAAAACCAACGGGACACCCGAAATCCATGCTGGGGCTCCAATCATGAAGATGAGGCCCATAATTTCCTCCTTTTGCCCGTCACCCGAGGAGAGTTTGTACCCGGAGCCGCTGAGCAAGCTCCGGTCTTTGCGCTTCTACTCCTTGTGGAACCAGAGCGTGGCCATGCTCTTGGAGACGCTGAGCCTCGAACGCCAGAAAAACCTCCCATGTCCCCTCTGCGAAGGTAACCAATTGGAACCACCCAATTGAAAACTAAGAGGAAATGGGTGGTTACCTACCATTTGGGTGACTGCGATCCACCGGGTCGATAAAACGCTGTGTTTCTTTCGTTTTTCTATTGACTCTTGCGGTTATGGTCAGTTATGGTCCTTTCACCAACCCGCACATGGTGATGTTGGTTCTTTGATGGGGTAAAACATGGCTATGTACTTACGTCTTTAATGGGTGTTAACACGGTTATTTAGCTCGTTGACGGGTTTAAACATAGGCATGCTAATTATTTAGTTGCTTTTTGGTTTTATACCAGTCAACACCATTTCGGGGACTTGCTTGTCCGACTGTTCGGGTCTGTTTCCGGGTGCGTTTGGGGACCCCAGTCCGAAGAGTGTCGTCAAGCGCGACGCGGTATCTCCCAAACCGTCGGGTTGCGTTTCCCCTTGAATGTCGAGTGGGGAAGGGTCCGAGCTCAAGCAACCCCAAAAAGGGCAAGTGAAAATCCACTGAAGGTCTTGGCTAAGGCGGGTGTGTGTGTGTTTTTCAAGGAGGAGTCCATTTGGTGAAACAATTCCTGGTGCACAAGCCTCTCAACGGGTCTCCCTTGCAGTGTTTTTTCCATAAGAACTTTGCTTGAATGTCCAACCAACCCAGGAAGTAGGTTACAACCATGGCTATAACTTGGATAAGTGAGGGAAAATTGCGAACTTTTTGATTACCCTTAAACCACCTCACCCAAGTGTTTGGTGGACCGATCGGTCTTATCCCCAGAATTTTAATGTCAGGTCACTTAAAACTCACACCTGAATGGAACTCCAGAAAGTGTCCGTTTTTGCGGAAATGAACCGCTAGGTAAGAAGAATAAGTCTACCTTGGGGCCTTGGGGATGTCGAAAATATCGAACTCCAGCTCCAACCAACACCTGAATCTTTGCCCCTAAGTGAAACCTAAGGTGTCCAAAAACAGTGCAGTGGTTGGGACCCGGGTGCCAGCAGTGCAGCTTTCGTTTTTTTTTTCCTCAGGAAGCCGGAGGTCTTCCACTGCATGGACTGGCACCAGGCATTGGCGCCCCTCTACTTGGACACGGCCTGCCAGATTCCCATGGCCGCTCGAAATCGGATTGGCGAAGTGGGTGTCCTGAAGCCTCAAATGGCTGTGGGGCAAAGTTAAAGAACCAGGGGACCGCAGATTTTAGTTCATATGTCCATTTACCAGGTTGAATTTTGGGTACCCATTTTTGACCCGCAGCCAAATTCCAACTTAAGAATGGGTTACTGCCTCAATGTTGTTGGGGTGTATGCCCTTTTTTAGGGGTAGGTAGCTTGAGGGTCCAGGTTGTTTTTTGAGTTTTGGGGCTGTTTTCGTATTGGAAAAGGGATAGCCGAAGTCCATGTTAGGATCGGAATGCATGTTTTGAGACGACACCAAAGCGAAATGGGGAGACTTGGGGCTGCGATTTCTCGAACGGGCACTGCTTTTGCGGTACCAAGGAGGTTTTGGACATGGGAAGACGCAGTTGGAGGGGGTGCTGGAAGAAAGCTGAAAGAACCGTAGGTGACCTTTCGGAAAAACAGATGGACCTGGTAAATGGCGCATACAACCAATCTCAACCAGTGGAAGCCGTCTATTTCTTAACCTAAACAGGACAGCCTACGCTTGAAATCCTGTTAGAGAAATCAAATCTTGGGGTTTAAGTAGAGGGTTCTTCTTATGGTCGAGTCGGAGGAATGACCCAACCGAACCAGCCAACTCGTAACCTTCCTTTGGTCGGTGATTCCAATTGGGTTTTACTGGCAGCCAACTCGTAACCTTCCTCCTTGTTGTTGGTCGTAATACATATAGGGACACCCTTTTTTAGGGCGCTCTTTTCCCGTTGCCAAGGCAACTTGAATACAAAAGGCGATCACCAGACCGCTTGACTAAAGATTGACCAAGACAACGGCGAGATCCGGTCGATTTGCTTGAGAAGTAAGACTGTGTCAGGTTAAAGGGGAATCCGTTGGAAACTGGGCTTCAACTCCCACTTTCAACCACCCGCTTTGCTGGGTTGCTCCGAGCAGGTCCAGCGCCATTTGTGCAAAAGGTCTCTCCTGATGGGCGATGTCACAGCAAAGACAAGGATATGGCCCCCAAGGCAAAGGTGTGACTTGTTGTTGGGTACTGGGAGAATACACATGTTCCCAAATAGTTGAAGGCTAAAGATCCACGGTTAAACAGTCAAGTGTGGGTCCTGGTGGTTGTCCACAATTCCTAACAGCGTCCCTCTATCTCGTGGTTTGGAGCTGTTCCGGGAGTAGTTTCCCTCGAATTCAAAAAAGAATCAAACAAACCACTAAGTTCTTATTTTCGGATTCAAGAAGCCATCAGGACCCTGGTTGAAATGCGACCGCCAAACTGAGTGGCTTGTGCTCCACCCAAAACGGACTGGGAGAGTTTCTCGTTTTCGAGAACCCTTTACAAAACACAATTTAGAGAAGAAGACTGACTTCCTGAGTGGCCAAAAAGTCTGAAAACTCGTTCTTTACCACTGAACTCGTGCTTCCCCTTGGGAGTTTGAAGTCCAACTCCGGGCGTGAGAACCGCCCGCTCTTTGGAGAAAACCCTTGGGGGTATTTCAGGAATCGCCGGCGGCTTTCGAGAAGTTGCGTTGCCCCGGTTCTCCGTGCCCTCCATTGAGCAAAATTACCCTTGGCCCACAAGGGGTACTTAACAAAACTGTATCTAAGTCCGCTTCAGATTTGGTCTACTCTAGAATATAAATTAGTCTTGGAGGAGATCCCGAATGAAAGAAACGGGAAGTATCAGTCTGGGCGAGTTACTGCATTACACAAAGAAATCTCGAGAACTGTCGTGGGACCCCAGCTCGTTCCACCCTTTTGCAAGCTAAAAATAAAATTGGCCAAACGTACTTGCAAAGCTTCATCCGGTACCCTTTGGAGGACATCATCTACTCGTGAACTTCTGCCAAAGCATTTTCAAGCGTCTTACCCATGAAAACAGCTGGATCACGTCAACACCAAACAAGACTACCACCAGCAAACGACAAAGGATTACTCAAAACCCGTATCCATCTACCTGCAAAATCGATGGACAATCCCAACTGAATGGACATAGCAACTCAAATCCGATATAGCCAATTCGGTGGGGGTTCTGCCGTATGTTCATTTCAAGTTTGCAAGCAGGAACTTAGACCCTTCGTTTTGAAACGATATCCTACCACTCCCCACACCATCCAGAAACACCTCAAGAGACTGGCCAGTATTCAGTACCAGAATCAAAGTCACCCCGGCAGTAGGCTCAGGGGAAACCACCAGCCAGTTTGTGACTTTGACCCCGACAGTCACTGCACGAAACTGGCTGGCCCTGGACATCAAAAAAGGCGGGTGCTGGTTGGCAGCAAAGGTGGGGTTTCTTCCACCCCTCAACTGCGTTCCCATGTCCAAACTCCCAAGTCTGTCGAGGGTTCTACCAAGGGGAGCGTTGGCATTGGCTTCACCGCCGGAGCTTCACTGTTCTTGGATCCAGTTGTTTGTGTGTTGATTTGTTTTTGTTTCTGTTCATGTTTAGCATTTAGGGGCTGCGCACAAAAACGTGGTTCTGCTCATGTTTAGGTTTGGAGCACGAAACAACAGAAGTTTGGTTTTAGTTTTTTTGGGGGCTGCAAAAAGCAACATATATGTTTGTTTTTCTAGGCCATCCCAAGATACCAAGGGTTCACCGCTGAGGTGCTGCTGCTGCGACAAGGCGCCATGGGCTCCGTAGACTCGGAGTCCTTGAGCGACCGCTTCTGGAAGACCGTGAGCCCCTTGAGGCGCATGAGCCTGGCGCGGAAGCCCGGCGGGGTCAGTTTCTTTTGTTTATGGCGTTCATAGCGCTGTTTGGTCAGAATCCACCAAAACGGGCCGGGAAAGTGTGGAGCTGATGTGCGGGATGGTCCGAATCCACCAAAACGGCAAAAGAAAAGCAAAGATCCGAAACGGTTCATGTGTTGGGAACATGTTCGCATCGGCAACCGGAGTTTTGTTGGTTTTCGAGCACACGGTTCACCTTCACGGAGCTTGGCCCATGAGCCTGAAATCCAAAGGGGAAAATGGTCTGCCCTTTTATTGGACCCAGTTGAGAGGATAAAAGTCTTGGTATGGAGGTTGTCCCATTTAAGTGCGAAAGGACCTGCCGGAAGTGTGTTCAACACATGAATGAGGAGCGAAGCCTGAAGACGCAGCTTTAAGTCGTATTTGGGTCTGTCTCAAAATAGGGGAGCCTCCAAAATGGGTAGTATCCTTTGACTTTCTCTTCAACCAAGCCTGAAAAGGCGACCATCAAACAAGCAACAAAACATGGCATTCTTAGGCCTGATTTGCCCTGTCTCCGCCTTTTTTTTGGGGTAGCAGCGATTTTGAGGCAAGGTGCCGCACCATGCCGAGGTTCCGCAACGGAGGGTTGCTTTTTCCAAGGCCGAACCCACGGATAGACCCTAGTGGCTTCCATTTGCTGAAACATGTTGTATTTTCCAGGGTCTTTAAAAGCCATTTGAAACATGGCTCCTTCCGCCAAAATAAAGGGAAACCACCATTTACAAGGCAATGCTCCCAGGTGTGTAATGTAAGGATCCCTGTTTTCTCCGGTTGGTTTTTGAAGGGAATCCATCACTATACTGGAAGATCCGGTTGTTTTGTCCATGGGACGTATCCGCAAATGGAAGAACGGCAGCCCCTGAGCACCCACTTGGAAGCCATGAAAAGTATGGACCATTGGTATGGGCCCCAGGTCATCTTGTGGTGCTTCAAAAGAGCGTTTCCAAAGTCAGTTTACAATTCGAGGTTGACTGAATAAACAAGCATCATCTGAAAATATGTTTTTTGGCCCATCTGGGGCTTGCGCCAAGATTTTAGGGGTACAGGGAGATTCTCTTTTTTGACCCGGCCCACAGAATACGATCCATGAATGGACACCATGGTGTTCAATGAAGTTGTCAGGGGTCCGCTAAGCTTGGCCTGCGTCTTTGAGCATTTGCAGCCCCAATCAACGGAAGCGTCTCATTTGTGGATGAGTGACGTTCGATTTTGCCCATTGAGCAGGAAAGATGCTGCTGGGTTCACAGGAACGACTTGTGCTTGAGAAACAGGCAGACCAATGACCAATACAGATAGAGACAGACTGCAGCTCTTCTCAAGGCTCTTTGCCAGTAAGACAGTTTGGTTTTAAAGGGATTTCCGGGATGCCAAAGGGAGCCATGCATCTGTCGGGTGGACTCATGAGACAAAATCATTTGTCTGAGGTCTTCAACTTGAAGATCCCGACCATCCGGAGGTATTGCATCTTCGAAGGCAACGGTTGCCTTGCAATCCTTGTCATAGCAAATTACAAGTTGTCCGTAGCCCGCCAAGACGGATCACAGCCAGACAGCGCGAAAAAACATGCCCAGAACAGTGAAACTTTGACTTGATCGGAGGTGGTTGCCCGTCTCTACCGCGTCAACCTGAAGGGGTGAACACCTTGAGTTGCCTCGAATGGCCAAATTGCCACAAGTTGCAAAATAGGCTCAAGGCCAGGGGCGTCGTCGCCCTGAAAGTCAGCGGCATTTCTGGTGCGTCAAAGCTGGCTCTGCAATAATAGCAGTCCTTCATGACAGGACACGAATGGTGAATGTGGGTGCGCCTTAACACAGGAATGGGACCCCGAAAATGGGCTCCAAGCCCAAAAAGAAAACCGAGCCCCTAAAAAAGGGAATCCACACCCATGGTGGTGGGTGGAAAGTCCGAGGTGCATCGACTGTTTGATTCATCCGAGGTTCCTGGGATTCGTGTAGACTGGGAGCATCCCCGTGCGAGTTGAAGACGAATTCGCCAAGTCTCAGATGGGCCAATGGCAGTTTTGGTAGATGGGTGGTGGGCCTGGTTGGTTGCCGGGGTGGTTGTAGCTGGGTTGCCTTGTTGGTTTCAGGCTGGTTGCCCAGGTGGTTGCTTGGTTGTGTTGGTACCTCTTTTTGTGGTTTTAGGGACACCACAAACCCTGATGGTTCAATTCCCGCCCAATTTCGGCAAGATCATGGAGACTCCAGGTACCTGGATTGCTTGGGGGGTTATAGTGAGGCCAATACAAGCCGCTATAATCATCTTGGTAGCACCAGAAGTGAGTGGGTCAATGTTCACCGTCAGTTGCAGGAAAGGGCGACGACATGAGGTGACCTCACCAATTTGACCACAAGAAAACTTGGGGGGAGGGTGTACTTATAATGTTGTTTTCGATTACTGTATCTCCCTTTTTAACCACCATTTACATCCCCCAATCGAAGGGTATACCTGGAAAAACTTGGTTTTCCAGGGTAAATGCCGGGAGCGGTGAGTGAGTCTGTGAGCCATTCCTTTCCTCTCGCCTCCGCTCCATCCAATCCATTCCCTCTAACTCCCTTTCACCTCTGTATCTAGGATGTGATTAAGAGGTGAGAAAGGGAGAGAAAGGGATGGGGTGTGAGGTGATTGTTGGTGAGATTCCTTCATTGGCGGTTTCCTGTTTAGTCAGTGGTTGATATCATTACCCTAAAAAAGGCTGTGGGATACTAGGGAGCAAGGCAAAATTGAAACGGTTTGGGACCCGCGCTCTACGTCCCGCGAAGCGCCCTGGCTGTTGGGGATTCTGGAAAGACTGCGGATCCCATGTCCGTGCCAAACCCTTTTCTCGCCTTTCCTTTTTTTGCCCGCAAGGCTTTCGCTTATTTTCCCAGTAAACCGGCAAAGGGCCACTTTTTGCGGGTCAATGTTTGTCCCAGGTTTGTTCCCCAAGCATTTGGGTTGCAGGCCTTCCCTTCTGAGTACATCTCGCCTAGTCCTAAAGTCCGTAAGGAGCATTTGGGTGAGGATGGTGTTGGGCCTTATCCGAGCACGACCTGCGAGGGCGGTTCAACATGCTGAAAGCGGGGATTCAGTTCATCTCTGCCGGGGTCCCCAGTATCCCATCCAGACCCAAGGCCTGGATAGGTGGCTCTACTAACTTAGGGGGATTGCAGGTGGGATAAGGTTACTCCCTGAGCTCCACTGGATGCGGTTGGGCCATTTTGGAGATAAAACCAAGAGTTCAAACCCACGAAAGCAGTCTGAAAAGTAAACGAACACCATTTGAGAGGGTTTCCTCCATTTCCTCCTTTTGGAACCGTGGAGAAGAAGATGGTGAAGGGCAAACACTTCGTTTGGGGATGTCTTTTTGTTGGAGTCGGACCCCCCAACCAAAGTTGATGCTGGTTTTCCTGTTGGTTCCCTAAAAAAGCGGGTCCCTTAAAAAGGAGCCACACCCATCTTCGCTTTGGATAAAAAACTGTTGGGTCCCTGCTCCCCGACAACAGTTTGAAGTGTGATGTGGTTTCATCCGTGCCTGGTTCCGACTTGAGCCATCCAAAATCTATAGTGTTTGCGCCTGGGAACTTAGTCAGTAAAACCCCATTTGGGTGCGGGTACTTGTTTGGAGGGTTCTCCCTTGTTTGGTGGTGTTAAAGGGAAACCAGAAGGACAAGCACTTCACAGGACCTGAACCTGAACCGGAACATAACTATGGTCACTTCCAAGCGCTCTGACCCCAAAAAACAGCCGTCAAAACCCAGAACCAGAAAAGCCACCAGCGTCTGCTGTGGGACTTGGCGGCATGACTGTGGAATAGAGGAAGGGATTCTTCTTGCAAGTGAGATGTGGGTGTGCCTTTATGGGACCCTCAAAATGGTTTTGTTTTTTTCGTATTTGGGGCACTCTCAACAAGAAGACCAGCGGACGTGGTTCCGCTTGTCATCGAGGCAGACGATCAAAAGTTGTGGACAGACCTGAAGGGAGCCTCCCTGTCCACTTCCATTGGAAAGCGGGTAATTATAGAAGGTGAACCAAGCGAAAAAAGATGAAGTGAACCATTGCTATGGGTTCTCTAGGTTGTCCGAACCTGTTACACGGTCATATGTGGAGCTTACACAAGTTTCGCAAGGTTCTTGTTCAATGGAATTTGAAGGGAGCTAAGGGGCCCTGTTCAGCCCTTGTTGGGCTCATCGTTTGGAGCTCACAGACATCCCAACTCGCTTGTGGACTTCCTGGACTCTTGGTTTGGGATTTGGTTGCCATCTCGAAAGTTCCAAGCCTTGGCCATCCACTCTGGGCCTTGGGCAACAACTCTGTTTTCGGTGGATGTTTTTTGTTTTGGGTTCTCAAAAATTGGGGACCAATCCCGGTAAAACAATCCAAACAGGGGTCCCCTATTTGAGAACCCCCCATCCATTTGTCCTTTGCTTCTCTCCATCCAATTTTGTCCTTGAGTGCCTGGCTGGCACAAGGCATCTCGCTTCCTGAATTCCTGGCTTCTTCGGTTTGGACCATTCGGGTTGAAACGTTTTGAGTTAGTATTGGTGTGGACCATCTTGGCAAATAACAAGTTCGGAATTGCATTGTCAAAAAGTAAGTGGCTGACTGTAAAGCTTACTCACTACGAACATCCAGTCTGGACCCAAATGTGTCTGGTCCCAAATCTCCAGACTTCAACATCGGAGAATCGGAGCCAATCATTGCTCGGTGTGGCGCAAAATTTGGGAAGCCGAAAATGGCAACAGTTTCCTTTTGGCTTCCCATCAAAGGAGCTACACCCATTTAGGCTTTAGGCTTGGGGGCTAATCCAACCCCAAAAAAGCTCCCCCCCAACAACAAAAACACAACACAAAGAAGAACGACAGAGCCATGCGGCCAAGGGCTCTTTTCACATCGGAACTCGGAGCTTAGGAGACTCAGCACGGCCGTGGCATTTGCGTCCTCTCAGCGGCCTCCACTCTGCGCCGGGAGCATCGCTTGCTGCAGGCCCTCGAGATGCCATCCGAGTTGTTGGTCCCTTTTTTTGTGGGGTGGGGGTGAATGGATATTCTCACTCCCTGATATCATGGACTTTAAGCTTCCTCGGAGGACCACTTTGGCGACAAATGAACAGTTTGAACAGTTTGGCGACAAACGAAAGGTATTGTTGAGGCTATCCCTTTTCTTTTTTCGGGGGGGTGTTTTAGAGTAAAGCCGAACCAGAACCATCTATTTTGGGGGTCCACTATTTTCTAGAAAGCATGGATGGCCAATCAATTCCCTTGCGAATCTAGACAACCATTGAAAGGGTCGGTATTGAGAGAGCCACCAGCACAGAAAAACTTGACAGTTGAGAGCTGATTGAACTTGCAACTGGGCTCATTGGCAACCCAACGAATTAATAGTGGAGTGCCGCACTTGAGAGGCAATCTTCCATGTGCTGAGATTAATGTGCGTGATTTTTCTCAGTTGTTTTTTTCTGGGACCTATCACTACTGGATTGTTGTTCTCTTCGCCACTTTTCTCGGGCACTTGGGTTGATTCCCAAGAGAGGCTCATTCACCATTTGTGGGGCAGATAATTTTCCCTGGAGTCCAAGCAAAGTCAAACAGCAAATGCGGGCAAGCCGGTACTTTTCGGTCCCGCGGCTCAAGGAAAAAAAAAGTCCAAGGCAAAGCAAGGTTGAATGTCTCCCAAAACCAAGTCCGTAGAGGACTGGCTGGGTGGGCAGGGTCCATCAAAACTGGGGCGGCTATGCAGCTTTCCAGATGCGATACCCTTGCAAACCCCGCTGAGATTCTGCCCGCGTTTGCTAATCGAGAGCTTCGTGAGAAGGCTGCATCAGGTGGGATGAAGTTTGAGAGTCAAGATGTAGCATACATACATAACTGGCGCTGTTTTGGCAGATCTGGGTCTCACTGCGTGCTAGGCTTCTAGGGCCAGCTAGACAAAAGCTCCCAGCGGGCAAAACAAGGCAATGTAAGTGACTAAGATGGCGTCAAGATTTCCTGTCTGGCCGGGTTCGTGGCTTTTTGGGCGCCCCAAAGAGGAAATCTGGAGAAATACTGAAGTTTGGGTGATTCTTTTGAGGCGAAAGGTAAGCTTGTTGGATGTGTTTAAGGGGGTTCCGCTCATTTCACTTCCAGCAACGTCTAGCAAATCATCTTTGCGCCTTGACTAAATAGTTGTTTTCAAGAGAACAGGGAACGCCCTCGAGCATGGCTAGTGGACATACATCCCCTCCAAACTTCGCGAACAAATTCAACGGAAAGCACAATCCTTAGCAAAAGTCCCCACCTAAAGGCTGTCCACCAAAGGAATGACAGGCAAAAATGCGGGGCGGCGGGTTTGGTTGTTTGAAGCACCGGACTCTTGGCGAGCAGTTCTCGCGCCAGGGCTACAAGTTGCGGGCCCTTGGGCAGCCCAGTTTGCGCCTGGCCGGGGGACCAAGACGTGCGGTTGGGTGTCTCAACTGGGTTCCCAGCTGTCCGGCTCCTTTGGTATTTTGGTTTCGTGCGGGTTCCATGCCGAGGCGAGGCCTGCTTTTATTGAATCGTGGCCCAAATAGACGACGGCCAAATTCGAGTGCAGCAGGTACTAGTAACTCACATGCGCAACCGGTACGGGTGTTGATCCGATTGTTCGACATGTTCCTTGACTTGTTTGGGTGCGGAAGGTCCAAGTTGCCAAGCATTTTGAGGCATAGTTGAGAGGAAACCAAGAAAAGCAGCGAATGTTGACACATGGAAGTCGACTTGCGGGTTACTCAAGAAACTGGGGATCACCATGGATCACCCAAAAGCTTATTTAGGGATTTGGGGGCTACCCGACTTTCTCCCTGAAACAATGGATGGAAGTACATCAGGCCTGATCATGCTCATTGAGCTTTAAGGGGTTGTGGAGTCTCAAGTTTCCACGTACAAGTTTGGGACTGGTCCCTGCCCAAACTTTCTGGTTTTTTGGCGGCCTTTTGGCCCATGTGTTGAGCTCCACCTTGTGGAAAGACGGGGTTTCCGTCCCCTCTCGGAAACGATTATGCAGCTTCGTGGATGTGTCCCCGATATCGACGTGAGGCTTTGGTCCGCTTGGTCCGTTTGGCTTTCCGAAGCCGACCGGATCAGGCTTTGGGTAGCTTTCGCCTCCAAAAGAGTACTATAGTACTAAAATAACTGGACTACTGGCGAAAAGCACGGGAGGAGTGCACAAGAAGCGCAGCCCATCTGTTCTCTAGAGGACGCTGAGAAGAACAAATTCAAATTGGCAGGGTGTTCTAGTTCCATTACGGCTACCCTTAGCAGTATTGCGAGAGGGAGAGGAAGGGCGAGAGGGGGGCAAACAAACTTCCTTGACAATGATTACATGTTCAGATGCGTTGGTTGATGGATTGCTCCCCGCCGACCAGCCCTAAAGATGCTTTCTATGTTCTGACCTGCAGGCAGTGGTGGGGTCCAAGGCACATGCTTGCTTTGCGTAAAGCTGGTCTTTCAGGAACCCTGACGAGCGGTCGAACTCGTTCAAAATGTGTTTTTTAGATCAAGAACTGGAGCTGATTTCCAGTCCATAGTTTTCCATCAGGAGAGATATTTACAACCCCCAGTCTGAAGGACTCTTGTCAGAGCGCCCAAATGTCCATGAAGAACCTTGGGGTAATGAACTTACCCGGCAAAGGGGCAGCCAACTCATAAAGCTCATCGTGCAAATCGGTACCTGAGCCGAGCGCACGAAAGCGCGTGTGCGATGCTGAGGCATGCAGAGATGCGAGCAGAAGCATCGAGACCATGAAGAAGCAAAGAGAGCTTTGGCAAAAGCGAAGCGGCGGGGACACAACAGCCAAACTACTCCAAGTTCCGTCATGATCGTGAGATGTGTATCATAATTGTGTCGCCCCTTTCATTTTGTGTGAAGACTAGGTGCCATTTCAATGATTGGCAAGCTTGCTTCCGCTTGCAATGGTCCCAAAAGGGATTCCCCAGTGAGTTTTCGAGCAACCCCTTGAAGAGGAAATGGTAGCCAGTTCCGCCTTCTCTTTTGGCCCGACCGTTTGGCTGATGGCAACTGGGGCGTGGCTGGCGTTACAACTCCAGGGGTGCACCGTCACAACCAAACGGCAGGGGTTGCCGCAACTACTTCAGACGAGTGCCCCCGTGCAACAAGTTGTTTTTCGTTGAAAGATGTACAAATGGAAACCAAAAGGCAACTTAGAAAGGTAAGTTGAGTCTGGCAGCAAAAGGCGGGATACTTGTACAGACATTACCGTATATATATACATATATATATGTATGGCTGGGAAGTTTCTGAAGGGTCGGTAACAGGACCGGAGCGGACATTCGTTACATACCCCGTTGCGTACCCATGTACTCGTTACACACCCCTACTTAGATACCTTCGTTATACACCTCACATTAACAACACCACCTTGCTGGTTGCATGCCCGTGTTGCATGCCCCGATGCGTACCCAGACTCTCAGTGAATTGTCATGTGCCTGCAGAGCAGACGTTTGCGGAGTATGCTTTCGCTGAAGAGTCAGCTTGCAGAGAACTTGCCGTTCAGTACAAAAGTTGCAACCAGTAGCAGGGAGAGGCCAAACAAAGAATCCTGTTTCTGATTACACACCTCGGTACATAGCCGCTATATCGTTGCAGACCCAACCCCAGCCATCCCTTGGCTTTCGTTGAACAGTAGCAAATTACAAGCTGGTGACCCCCCCTTTGGTAGGAACACCCAAACCTGCCACAAGGAATGCCGAGGCCCAGAAGCCCTTTGATCAGTTGGCGCACACCAATTTTTGGGTTATCGCCCTTGGCCCAATACTGACACAAACCACACAGGATTCAATCTCCCCGCTACCCCCCAACGACGCTTGATCGTGCCTTCCATTTTTGCCCCTCAAAGGATTTGTTTAAATCCTAGGTTGAGGGGTGAACATTAAGCTTTTAAATCAGGGCGTTCCAAGTCGTTCCGGTGACTGGTTCATTTTTATAAGGAGTGGGCTGCTTCCAACCAAGCTGACAGCTGGGTTTGACTTGCAAACAGCTTGCTGCATCGACCTAGGAAAGCGGGCGCCGGGCACTGCAGCAGCATGCTGGCCTCAAAGGGGGTGGCAAGGCCCTGTCGAGTCCATTGCCGCATAGCCAGAACCACAGACTCGTCCTCCCAGGAAGGGGGGACGGTCTGCGTGTGTGTGTGTGTGTGTGTGTGTGTGTGTGTGCGCTTTGTTTTTGAGAACCCCTCCACAATGGTGATTGTCCTTTTGGTTCCCTTTTGAAACCCAACCAAAACGGGTAATTGCCGTCAAACACAGACCCATTAGGGGGTGGACCTTTAAGCCAACGACAAGCCCTCAAGGGTTTGCTAGCCTCCCCATAGCTCCGCTAGGTGGTCCACGACCTTGACTCACGTTCCGAATTCCCGGACTTTCACTTTTTGGAAGCGCCTGGACCATTCCAGCCAAACGCTTGGACTTCCGACCATTTCATGCAGATGCCCTTTCCCTGCAATCAAATATCCAGAGGGTATGCTCTCAGGGCACAACTCGCTCCCGGATTTCCGTTTCGGACTACAGTCACGCTGTTGGGTTTAGACAATCAAGCGGCAAGCAACAAGTTTGACCAACACAAACAAGTCTTCACCAACAAAAGTTTGGGCTTGGACAAAGCAACAAGTTTGTTTAGTTTTTCAGGCACGCCACTCGATCGGAAGTGAAACAATGTTATAACACAGAAACCCTCAGAGAGCATGGCCAGACTTAGCAGGCCTCTTTGCCCCCGTTTTGCCATGATTAGTTTTGGGCTCGAAATCTGTCTAAGACCTAATTATTTTCTAGTGCCCGCTCGAAGGTCCTTACCCCGAAAATCAGCGGTAAACAACTGGGCCCGTGTTTGACAATGCATAGAGGGAAGCCAGAAATTGTGGTTCCCTGTGATCGACCCTTACCGCAAATCAGATCCATTCAATAGATCTCATTATTGGCGAATGGTCCGAGCAGAGAAGACCCATGGTGGCCTTGTTTTTCGCAAGTGCTCACTCCCTGAGTTCCTGAACTTCAATCTGGGTGAATTACAACCTCACACGACCGAATTCACCCCAAATGGTGGTTTATGTGGGGAATAGCCCCCAAACCGACTTATTTCAGGCTGGTGAAATATTGTAATTCACCCAGTTCAATATTTTTTCGAAAGACCATCTTAATGGTAAATGAAAAGTTTGAGTTACTTTGTTTGGCCCGCTCAGCAAGTGAGAGTAAGCAGTAGAATGTTTCCTAAAACACAATATATATATATATATATTATTATATATATTATTATATATATATTATGATTATTATTATTATTATTATTATTATTATTATTATTATTATTATTATTATTATTATTATTATTATTATTATTATTATTGTTATTGTTATTGTTATTATTATTATTATTATTATTATTATTATTATTATGATCATCATCATCATTATTATTATTATTATCATCATCATCATCATCATTATTATTATTATTGTTATTATTATTGTTATTATTATTGTTATTGTTATTGTTATTGTTTATTATTATTATTATTATTATTATTATTATTATTATTATTATTATTATATTTTATTATTATTATCAGTATTTTTATATTAAAAACATGTACGCTGGGCAAACATGTGCGCCCTTACACAATGATTCTGATGGTTTTGAGTACCTCTTCGAGGTTAAAAAACAATAAAAAAAAATCGACCAAAAGGCCGCAAGCCCTTCATGTATCATAGCATGTTTAGATGGTTTGTGTTTGTTTTGTCAAGATCATTATAGACCCGTTGATCAAGTTGTCTCAAGCTGGTTCTTGCTAGGTCATGCTAACATATACATACACTACATCTAACACATGTGTATGAATGCAACTTGGATGGGGTTTCAGCGGCTTACTATGAGTTGCAAGATCCTGTCAATGACCATGTAGCTCACATGTGATTGACTTGTTACCACCATATACACTACCAACCAGTGCTGATCTGTTCCAGTCGACAACATCACAGTCAAGTTCGTACGCAGACATAGGTGTTTCTAAGATTTGAGACTCCTTGTTGGATGATGTTTGGAAGGCAACCAGGAACCAAAGACATTTTCAGACTAACAGCAGACAAGAAGGAAACATAAGTCAAAAGGAAACCCAACATGAGCCAACGGAGACCAACCCATTGGGGCCATGTGGTCATGCAATCGCCATGCGTTTTTTTTCGGCACGCCCGGCAGGTCTTGCTGTTCACCGGACCGTGGGCGTGGCATGCAGGCTCGGTGTACATATTTGGCAACCTGTTGGGAATCGCCGCGGGATCTCTTTGGAAATTGCTCTGGATTTCAAGACGCCCGAGTAGGTTGGGAAGCTGAAGTAAGTCGATGCCGGTAATTTAAATACCCGTTCGCGAGAGGCAGGCGCCCCAGTGCGCAGAAGCCGAATCCTGTTGCTCATGCTATGGATTATTGGACAACGGAAGCCTGGATTGTTGAAATGAGCTTTCATTGGGTGGAATATTTGGCGAATATGAGCCGTGGCCAACAGCCGTTGACAGGGACGCCCAGACTAGCATTTGGAGGCCCCAATACACTTGGAGCTAGGTGCTGATTCCTGAGGGAGTTCCGTAACTTTGGTCTTCTTTGTCATTTGCCCTCGGTGAGGCTTGTTGACCCCTCCGCCGCTGGCTGGGGGTGGTCTTTGGGTGTGGTCGTAGAGTCCTTGAGTCGTCTAAACTAAACGTCACCATTTCAACTTTTTGCAAGGTCTTGTTTTGTTTAAGGGAGTCGGTCAGCTAGTGGTTCCCTCATGGTCTAGCTACTTGTAAGCCGCTCCCGGAAAACGCCCCAGTTTCTGCAGGGAGCCTTCAGAAGTCAAAGGTTATTCTCCCTCAGCAACGGCATAATTTCTGCCCACTTTGTAGCCAGCTCAACTGAGAGTATAACGAGCAAAAGCCATGATAAAGGTCCTTTACTTGGGGATCCCTTAAGCCGACTTCTGGAATTATCGTAGCAGTTGCAGATACATGTTTTGCTGGTTCTCAGTAGGGGAATTGTTTAAGGGGTTGGAATGAATCGGAAGGGGATATCCTAGAAAGCACAAGTGTTGGTGCCGCTTGGGGTAGTTCTAGCGAAATCTCCTTGCCAAGATAAAGTTGGAGCTAACTGGTGTCGGTTTAAGCCTAAGATGAGAAGTCATGTCTTCATGGTTGGGCCGCTCAGTTGCTTTGCTCGGAAGAACCAACCCAGTCCAGGGCTACCTTTTCGGCAATTGAAAGGAGCTTCCTTTGGGGCCTAGAGTGATGTTTGAAGGGACATATCTGAACTCTTCACTCCGGGGTGAGCGATTTCTTGGGATGAGTTGGGTGTTTGTCGATTGGGCGATTTTGGAACTGGCCGGGCGTTTGGGAGGGGGGGAATGTTGGACGAATTTGGGGAGAACTACACGAGTGCTTCGCAGCATCCCTGTTCTCGCCGCAAGTTTCTAGTGTCAGCCGGCTCAAAGTCAGCCACTTGGATGGCAGGACTGGCTTAGTCGAAAGCTGCCGTAGCCCAACATGTAGGGTTTCTGTGGGCATGCCAAGCTTCTCGCAAAGTATCAAAAGGACCACCCTGGCAGATGATGCCCGCCCGTGTTTCATGGGCTTGTGTCGGAGAAATTTGGAGCTTTGCCTTTGAGCCAACCTGAGGGTCTCAAACCACACCAAGGGAAGGAACCTCCAAAGTGGTGGGCAATGGGGCTGTGGTCAATTGGAAAGTGGTAGAGTGACATGTTTAAACCTGGGGTGGCCCCACCCTGGCTTTAGTTCAAATTTATGTCTACCCTAAATTGTTCCATTTGTTTTGGAGACCCCAGTAAACAACAGCGACCCGCCTTTGAGCACCATGTTTTTAGACTACTCTATGGGTGAGCTGGCTTCACCGTATTGATTTGCCTGGGATGGATTTTGCTCCAATGGCAGCGGAAAAGAAAAACCATAAGGGCATTCAAAACGACTCTTTCCTACCTCTTGGTAGAAGAAAACCAACTAATCTGCAATATGTCACAAAGTCTGCTTGCTTCACGCAGCTGGGAGTTTTTCTGTGTATCCCTTGGTGGGCCAAGCTCCACACCTCCTTCGGCCCATGGTCCGCGTGATCTCCGCCCTCTCTGGGGACCTCCTCCTGGACGATCTGTCGGCGAACGTTGCCGCGTTGCGGCGGAGCGTGGCGGAGAGGTGCCGAGTTCCCTGCTGCCGGGCGACTGGCCGGACAAATCCAGGGGCCGGGACGCGTGGAATGTGGTGGTTGTGTTTTTCCCCCCAGTCAAAAAGAAGCCCCTAAAACGTGCCCTCTTTTTTTTCGGAATCCAGTTTTAAAAGAAGCCCCTAAAATGGGTTGCTGTTCAGCCATGGTTGTCCTTTTGGTCCTTTTGGCTTCCTCACTCTCTGAGTTAGCTGGACTTGGGTCACTTTTTTGGGGTGAGCAATTTTCGTAGCATTTTGGCCCATCCGCTCGATGGGAAGTGAGCAAAATAGCAGAGCTCTCAAGAGGAGCTTCGGTTTCCCGTTGGCTCCCCGAAGCAAGCCCAAGGTTTCACGCTTCTGGTGGAGTCATGGCGGATGAATCAGCCAGATCAAACGCTAGCTGGTGCTCGGCTTGAAATTAACTTAACCCACAAAGGTCAAGCAAAATCCTGTGCACAGCAACTTTGACCAGCCCTAAGCCTAAAATCTTGAAGGGCATGGTGTCTCAGCGTAAATTGCCAACAAAATGGCAGTACACCTTCGCACCCCCTGAGTTCTTGGACTTGAGTCACTTGTTGGGGAGGCTAAGTACACTGGAACATCCTTTCTCACTCACAGAGTTTCTGGGCTGTTGTATGCTTTCTGAGAAGGCCGTTTGAGGAAAAGTCAGTTCGGTTTTCGGGAAAGGATCCAAATGGCCGGGAAGGTACCTAAGGTGCCCCGCCAACTTTTTCTGTGTTCTCTCGGGGAACGAACTATGAGTGCTTTTTGTAGGCCGCCTTTTTGGGGGGGGGTCCCCTAAAAACGACACGGCCATATTGTCCACTGGTGAGATGGACCTCTCAAAACCCGCAGTTGTGAAGCTGGGCCCATTGTTTTACCCTTTTGGGTGGGTTGGTGTTGTTTGACGCCAAAAAGACACAACAAAAGAATTCACCGAAAAGCATCCTGCATCCCGAACTTTTATGCTTTCACAACAGGAACCTGAAATGGTAATTTGCATGTTTTGTCACCTATTTGACACCCAGCCGTACAGACCCTGCCAATGAATTGGCCCTGTTGTTTCCGGCCCCCTTGGCCCCTTGGTGTTGCTGGTGTTTGAACCTCCAAACAGACCTGGAGGTTCGGCATCACAAACAGGTTGCGGATCGCAGCCAAAGCCAAAGTTCTTCTCAGTTCTTCCAAACCGACCTTTTGATATTTTGCTGTTCCCTTTTCTGTTTTTTTGGCAATCCTTCATCCTTGGGTTACGCAGAACGTAAGGGGTTGTCTTTGCAGTAGCTTCCCTGTAGGGATTAGGACAGGCCAACCCTCCATTTTCAACAGCCCAGTCTTTGGTCCGCTTTTAAATGTCCCCATTAGGTCACCTTTGATTTCTCTGTATCCGCAAGTGAGACTCAGGTGAAGCTGCTTTCCCAAGAGGTGTCCCTGGAGGACAGAATCAAACATTTCGCGACGGTCATTGGGGTCTCTTCTGAAAGTTTTTTGACCTGGACCTTCAAGCTATGCACAAAAGAATTCACGCCTTTTGGTTTTGCGGCCATAACCCATGTCTAAGGGAATTTTGAGGGTCTAGGTAAATTCGCAAGCAAGAATCTGCACATATTATGTTTGGTGTAACCTGGGGTTAGGACGGTCATGATTCGCGAGGGAACGCATCATCATACAAACCGCCGGAGTGGGTCCCAAACAACACAAGTGGATTTCCTTAAGTTCCATCTGAATTTGCCCGGGGGAGATCAACCAACCGCTGGTTCGCCGATGGCATAGGACAGCTGGGAGGGCGAGCTGCCCAGCGCGCCTCGGAGAGATCTGTGGGATGTTCCGCTGCAAAAACCTCTTGCGACGCTGTAGTATACCCAATGTGTGTGTGTGTGTGAGTGAGTGGGCGGGTGGGGGGGTGTGGGGTGGGTGGGAGGGGTTTCCCAAACTGTTTGGTAGCATCTGAGACATCTGTGGCCTTGACGGAAAAACTCGACACTAACATGTCAATCCTGGGTTTGTTTGTTTCTTGTCACGTGGACCAAGCCTCTGCTGCTCAAAAGCCGCGCATGCGGATTTCCCGAGTCAGGAAAAGGGCGCGCCAGCGCGCAAGGGTTTATTTTGTTGGTGCCCCGGTTTTTATGGCTTTAAAGGGAGTCCAACCGGAATTCCACCGTTTTGAATTGGGGGGGTCCCCTAGAAAAAAGACACACCCATACGGGCTTGGGTGGAGATTCATGTATCACGTTTGAGGTCAAGGTGGTTTGGCATCAAGATACATAGCCATATGCTTTGCTTATATCATTATTATCTCCGGCAAGCTTGGGACCTCATAACAACACCAGAAACAACAAGCAAACATGGTAGCACAAATCTTGCACTTACTCCAACAATCAAAGAAGCTGACATGAGTGTGTAGGTGTAGGACTACTTCGCCTTTTTGGAGCCCCCAAGATCACTTTCTTTGTTGGACAAAGAGGAAATGGGAGTCTCCATTGCCGTTAACAGAAAGAGGTCATTTCCAAACGAAAGGGGTCATGCCCGTCAATACAAGCTCATGGAGACTCCAGGTGAGCAACATAGTAGCAAAACAAAGAGACCGGTCCACGTAGTTCTCCAATGGCTTCCGGTTGCCATCGCCTCGTTCTTTTTGCCTTCACGAGGTGCTTCAAGCAGCGCTGCAAGCGGTCGCCGAGGAGGAAGCGTGTGAGCTGCTTGCGGCGGTGGATGCGCAAGACCTGGAGCTCGTGACGCGTTTGCTCCACAGGCAGATCCAAAAAGCACAACAATCCCACCCAAAGTGTGCACCATTTCTGGCTGGTCTTGTGCTCCCCAAAATGAATCCTGCCTCAAGCATTCCATGGCATCAAGTTCTTGGCGAGTTTGTTGTTGTTGGATGTTTGGTTCTCTTCGTTTTTGTTAGGCTGCTAAACACAGTCAGTTTTTGTTGCAAGCCAAGGATTGTGAAGTTCCATTTGCTTGACAGTGGTTGTTTGTCCCCTCTTGGTTTTAAAGGAAATTTCGCACTACTGGAAATATGCTCCTTTGTATTTTCAAGTCTTCTAGAGGA